TAACTCTCTGTGTATAAAATCAATGCAAAAAAATTGATTTTCGGTTCATATAAGGGTGATAGTAAAAACTGTATTAAATTGACACTGACTAAAATTGATTTAGCGATGCTCTGTATATACATAGGTGTATATCCAATTGTACATATACACACGGCAGTCGAAGTGTTAATAAAACCATTTTATACATTGTTACAGCAAACAAAAATAATAAACAAAATAAATAATATAAATACACATACATTTGTCTACGTGCTTTATATACGTTGTAACGCGTGCAAATAGATACTTGGGTTTAGAAAGACGACTCGAGCACACGTAAAGGAGCTATTAACTTACAGTAACAAGGTGATCGCGAGGGACGATTAGAGAGAAGCTGTCGGAAAGGGATCGTAAAATTTGTTGAATTTCGGTAACCGCTTTGTAGACTGCTTGAATTTCAAACAGCGCGAGTGATAAAGCTGTAACCGTAAATTTATCCACGAGTGGACGATCAAAAGTTAAAATCGAAGGAAACGAATGGTTTGACATGATGACAGATCCATAGTAATAGCGTTCTGTAGAATTTCATTCTGTAGAATTGACATCTCGCGTTTTGCATACTTCTATTAATAATGGATAATAGATCCGATCAGAGAAAGGGAGAGAGAGAAAGAGAGAAAACTATTTGTATTTCGACGTCAGAATAAGAGTTTTATAAATATCGCTAGGAGATTCTCTGTCACGAGGCAGAACAAACATTTAACGATACGTCTGCCTTCGTGGCACATCAGGATAAATCCTTTGACAATGTATGCTCATGTAATAACGAATAAAGCAATGCTAGCACGCAATGTGATATGGGTCGGATTTGAGTTTTATGACATTCATACCAAGACATTATTCGAAAAGGAATTTTTTTCACTTTTATGTTACGGGTAACTTCATTAAAATTTTAGATTTGCAGGATGTAGATAGGAATTCCACGAATCCTACGCACATGGTTCATACGGACTTTCATGCATACGAATCTGTGTAATGTGTTTTACGTACCAGAAAGCGTGGCCCGTTAAAATTACTGCAGTATGCACGCTATATTTCTTTGCGCGCTTATTATTATTAAATGCAGATAAATTCAGAACGAATTGTTGAATGTGAGCTTATGAAATATTACGCTATTGTTTCTACTGTGGGAACTATACCAGCCATTAGAGTATGATCAATTGCCTCGTAAAACTATTAACCGCTTTCGAGGTGAGAGATTTAGACAGAACCAAAGAAAAGTAATGAGTTTATTGAACAAAGTATACTTAATAACGGCAATAAAATCTGATTAGTAGTTTCACGAATAACGATCATTACAAGGCTATTTTCGCCCGAATCAACAATTTATACTTCTATAAATATCTTCTATAAACAAAGATAGCTATAATTAAAATTCTAAAAATGAGATAGTATCCTTTCTAACTTTCACATTCGGAATTAGTATTAGATAATCGTGCCGCCGTCGATTAAGTCTTAGACGTAACAGATTTGCGATTGAAAACGTGGTACACATGCGATTTATCCGATAAATGTTTTCGTCGATGCTGGCAGCAGCAGATCTCGCCATGTTTCGGAGAATGGAAGTCTAGCAGCAAGATTCTCTTTTCTTTTTTTATCGCATATCGTGTATTTTACTACAATAAATCGCTATATCGATACAGATTGCGTCGCATACAGGCCGCGCTCTCGAAGACATAATATCGACGATGCGACATATATATACGTGATTTTCAACAGTAAAGTGGTTCTCAAGTGTCAAATTTGTGAGATTTCCATTAGATGTGATTTCGTGTCTGTAAGAAGAATCTCAAAGAGAGCTTCGGGCCCGCCGTTTTCCACGTCACCTAGTCATGTTTCGTATCTTACGTACTTTTTATTCGTTTAGTTTCCGACACACCGCCAAGATTTTATTGCGGCTGCGTGAATCTCACGTATACTGTATCCCTCAAGGATTAAAACGCCGGGCATATACGTTCTTGAATTCCCACCTGTGAGCTTTCCTTGACGTATCAGTCTTCCGCGTATGGAAGAAGCGAGACGTTTTTCAGGAAATATTTCCCCGAGACGTGTCGTCTGAATAACGCATAAGTATACAAACGAAGATGGAGCAAGGATTCGATTCCCGACAAAATACCGTTTATCCTACTTTTCCTACGTTTTCTTTTTTTTTTTCTTTTCTTTTGGTATCTCCACACGCGCACGTCTCACCTTAAATTAAGATAATATACAGAAAGAACCGTTGAATCGTCTTAATCGCTACGTGTATCGGATGTGTACAGTGTTTCGGGCGAGAGAAAACGATGCTACGTGATGGTTTCGTGGGTCTCTCAAAAATACGCCGGCGAGGCCAAGTATGACACGTTTCCGCCGCCGTCGTTCAGTGAGCCCACGTATTAGGCCTGTCCAACTGGTGAGCTCTGTTTTTATGCCTAATTTTATTAATTTTAATTATGACGATACCGCATTGTAACAATCCGTCTCAATGATGCATACCTTAATTTGTGAATTCGTTCGCTTGAAAAATCTTGTGTACGTACAAAACTACGAACCTCCGTTACTTCTACTCTCTGGAGAACAATGATAATGCTAATTTCGTAAAATAGAAATCGTTTAGAATAATAGATCAGTTCATGTAGATTTCGTTATCCATAACTCATAACTGAGTATCATTATGCATAAAAATTCAATGATGATATCTCTTATAGTGTTATTTTAATCATGATGTATTTGTACGTAATAGTGTGTCATTTATAGAACTCTAGATGAATAATAGATCAGAACTTTAATAATGAATAAGTCAAAGAACAAAGCTGTAAGGGCAAGCACCGAGAGAAATTGTGCTCAATGACAAGAGAGACGACGTAACGCTCGCCTGCAACTTTAAAATTAGAGCTATCGTGATTCTCGATTCTTGCAGCATACGTCACAATGTTCAATTGTTCAATGTTCAGCTGATGATTCTTTAACTTATATAGGATGAGCAAATATTTACGCGTATTTTCCATAATATTAAGAAAATATGCAATATACCTATCGTATATAATTTTCGTATATAATAAAATAACATTCGGCAATGGACACGATGACGCTCTTTCGATGCCAATGTGACTAAAAGTAAATAACTTTTCCATTGTATGGCGAGATTATTTTCTAACAATGATTTATATAACAAAGACAATTATTTTCATCATCAATTTTATTACAAAATGAAGGCAGCTATCTTCATAATTAATCATTATTATAAAACAAATTCACTATATTATAACAACAAAAAAGTTATTTACATTGATATTGATATTCAGATTGTTTCAAAATATTCGTGAAACTATGGTTTTAATTGAAAAGTAATAATATATAAATTCTGCTAAAAAAAGTTACAACACGGATAAGCACTTCTTTTTCGCACATTCTTTTTCCCGGCGTTTCTTTGAATGTAACGACGATTCACCCAGTAGTATAACTTGTAACAACGCGACCGCGAGACGCTTTAATGATGGTCTTTAATGACGGTACCATGAGAGTGACGCTTCGAAATTGCAGTACGCTTTGTTCGCGTTTGTTCCGCGTGCAATAAACTCTTGCAACACTGTGTCGTGCCATAAACGCGTTTTCGTGCGACGCGACGATGCGATCTCCATCTTGCAACGCCGTCACGACGCGACGTCGCAAAGAGCGGGCGCTCTCGCTTGTAAAAGGGAACAGTTTTTCATAACAATTTTTATAGAAACGAAAAACGTAAGATTGTGGCGTGAGCAGAAACGCACGTTTCGCAATCGCGTTTCAAGCGTCAACGTGAATTTTCGTGTTTTGACTGCTATTTTCTAGATATATTCGTTCTTTTTATTTTTCATGTTTGTCCCAAGAGAAATTTTCCAGACTTCGTGGGAACGTGTTATTCAAGCGGATTTAAATGGAAAGAGGTCATATTGTGCGATATATTCGGATTGATTTGAACTACTTACAAAGTTATTACGGTTTTAACAAGATGAATGAATATCTTGCAAGCAGATGCTTTTTCTGCATTTCAACACGTTAATAGTCGATGCAAAACTAATTTGATTTTTAACTTATTTCGAACTAATTTGTGACAGCGATCAATTAGTCGCAATGCTATCGCATTAATCATTATTATTACTAAATATATTGTTTTTGTGATGTAAAATTGTAAAATATATCGAATATAATTTCTACAGTCTATCTATTTAATTTACAATAATGTACAAACCAGTCAATTTCATGCTTATTGCATTATCTTATAATTAAAATTGCGTCATTTATATTACTATATTAAAATCGTGAAAAATATTAAAATCGTTATTATATATTATATAATTTATTCGAAGAGAGCCCCAATCCTTGAGCCGAATGTTATTTCTTTGCAATAAAGGAAGAATTCAATCATATGTTTTCTTGATATCAAATAATCTTCGAATATCTAGATTTTATTATTGCAACTGTTCTAATTCTGATTTGTATCAAATGGTGATTTCTATTTAAAATCACTTGAGCGACACATTTCCAAAAACTATCAAATCTCGGTTTACGCTACTTGGTCATTTTTTTTTAAATTGATAATTTCGGAACCACAACACACAAGTACAAGAATTAAAATTGTAAGGACGATAACACTTGTAAATATAAATAATGTAAATATAAATAATGTAAAAAAAATGTTCTTAAAGGAAAGGCAGTGTTTGTAACAGATATGAGCGACGCATAGACGCATAGATTGTATCACACATGCACACATCTACAAGTCTGTGCTTTTGGAACCCATCTAATCAATTATTTCGATTTCCGAGATACATAGTCTCACCTTGTTAGCGACACGATCGATTCGTTTGCACTGACCGAATTTTCCATCCGACCAGCCTGAAATCTGGTCTGTCGAAAACGGACGATCAGCAGATCGGTGCCCCGGAAGTTGGACAGGCCTTGCCTAACGTAATCCGCCTCGTCGTGGCGTATTCGATCCGGGCAGTATTTACATAATTCGAGTCGCATGCGCGTCGCGTGTAATGACTTGGAGCAGGCAATCGCGCAATCTTCCATGAAAATCTCGCATATCTAAGTAGTCCAGCCGGCGGCAACTTCGACTAAAGTAAATAAAGAATAAGAGGGACGAGTGAGGATGGAAGGGAGGTTGGAAGATGGAATGGAAGACGGGACGTGGTTTGAGGAGGAAAGGAGACCTGCGAGGAATGGATGAGGAGAGGGTATGAGCCTGAGGGATTGCTGGAAAAGATGAAAAAGAAGGAAGGGAAGATGAGCGGACCATAAAGTCCCGGAGGGGAAAAGAGGAGGGGGAAAGGTAATATCCTATCTATCACAAACGGAAGTAATGACGTAATAGTTATGGACATTTTCGAAGTAAAACGCTTATCGCGCTAAAACGACGCCCGCTACGACGAGTACCACTGGTACCAGCACGCCCGCCAGATTCCTCTTCGCTGCCGACGTTTTGCGACGCTGTATCGCTGCCATCTTGTCACCTGAAACGGCAAGAGAGACAGGTGGATCCGTTAGTAAATCGATTGTCGAAATCGATCGACGTTATTCGTCGAGGTGCTCCCGTTATCGAGGTAATCGAGTACATCAATGAGGGGTCGCGACGGGACGTTCCCGTTGGAAACGGTGGCGTGTCTCTTGTAAGTTAAGTCGAGCGTTATTTCCGCCGTGGTGCACCATGTTCGTTGTTGCCGCTGCAACATGTTAAAGCCGAATACGACCGGCGATAAAGCGATTGCACTCTCCATCTCTTTATCTTTCTCTTTAGCTCTCTTTCCCCGCTTCTCGTTCCCCGCTATTCTTTCTTTCTCCTGTTACCATTTTGCCTATTATTTAATAATTGCGTCTTCCGTCACGCGCGCGCTTTCAACCGCTCGCACGAGAGAGCGATCGGAAGGCGACTTACACAAATTACACAGATTAAATCCGCATATGCAAACAGACGCGAATCCACGGCACACGCTTTCACGCTAAACGGCTGGTTTGATTTGAATCCATTATTCATATTGAACGTACCACGCTATGCGCGTATGTATGTTGGACGAACGAAAGTCAAGACGGATCAATGCGAGTCGTACAGCGCAGCGTGGTACAGCGTCTTATTACTCGAATATTCGGAGTTCCAATATTCGGATTAACGGATTTTTATCTCTACAGAAGTCGAATTAAAAATTATATCGCGAGAGGGGGGGGGGAGTAACCACCAGCTAAAATATTGTCTCATAGATTACATGATTTTATATGATTTCATCTGATTTATATGAATATAAAAATAATTTTTTTCACTACATATGAAGTCATTTGATAAAATATATGATTTTATTTAATATTATACAATGATTTTCTCGTGGTTGCATATGTAATTATCGGATTATATATAGAGATTTGATTATATATGAATTTTATAATAATTTCGAGGACTCTGTCTCACAGTTACATTAAGTGATTACCTCCTCGTTATGTCGGCCATACATTGTAATTTCTCAGAAGCCAAATCGATTGATTTCGTTTTTTATAAATTTTTAAACTTTAGTACTAAAGCATTTAGTTTCGTCGATTTTGTGGAATCAGTTTAGCTTTTAAGAGATCTGTATGATAAATAAAAAGGTAAATTTTTATTAATGCGTTCGATTTACGATCTGCTTTTATATTCATAAGATACATATCATACAGAATATTTTTTTAAGTATTGTTTAATATTTTAGAAAGTTTTTTGAGATGATTTATGAAAAAAAATTGATATGAATAAATGATCTCGATTTTCATACATATTATACATATTTTCAGAGATACAAAGTATTAAAAATAATCGTTTCCTTAAAAGCTCTTGAACGAAAAACAGTTCAAAAATAAATTAATTTTTTCAAGATATTGACATTGAATTTGATATAAATAGATATATCTTTAAATTAATCATTCTATTTAATTAATTAATTCTATTTAATTTCTATTTAATTCTATTTAATTCTATTTAATCATTCTATTAATTGTAAATTCAATTCCTTCAAAAGAATCAAGTTAATAATACTATTTATTGCGATTATCTTACTTTTTTTAGATCCGAAAAAAATTTTAAAGAAGAAAGCTTTTTTCGTTTAAAAGTAATAAAAAAAAAACGATAATTTTATGAAATGTTTAAATTTATATCTCTGAAATGAGACTTTTGAGATCATATTTTCACATTTTTCGCACTTTTCTTCATATCATAAAATTTAAAAAATCAACTCCTAAAATATTGAACAGTATTTAAGAAACATCCTGTATAGAGACGATTACATTTTATGCATATATCAGTCTACATATCCATATTGTAATACCGGATTATGTCGATCGTTATAGTCGAACATACCAAAGAATCGAGGAATAAAGAGGAGAAATTGCATTTTCTTCTGCTGCTTATTTCAAATCCCGACTTGTATTGATATCGAACGGTAGTTGATTGTGACGGAGGTCTCCCCTTTTTTTCTTGCATGATGTAAACATCGTTTGCATGGTGAATCGACGTTGTGTAACGAATTTCTTTCACTCGGATTAGCGACTCGCGGAGGATCTGAAATAAATTCTGGCGTAGATTTCCATTATAATTTCCAATTGAAATTGTGGACTTCCACGGACTCGGTCGGCGCGTCTCCCGTTGCATACAAAATTACTTCCCAACGCTCCGACGCGACGCATCGCGTCGTGCAGCGCTGTGTTCCGTGGAACTGCACAGAATGTGCCGTGGATTACTGAGCTAATTACTGTCGTAGTTGCTCACACCGTGCGTCGTAGCTACCCCGCGGAATAATTAATGTTGATAATAGATATATGTCGTATATTATAAATTGTGTTATACAATATCGCGTGCGTCATAGCGTGTGCCGATATTAATAATAATTCGTTGTTACGGAGATTGGAGATAATCAAGGGGTGACAAGTACGTAGTATCGAGGAAACTTTCAATCAATATCACGGTATTATCAGCCTCATTCTTAATGTATGCAATTTAATGAATTGTTTATTTCATCGAGATATTTAATAGTGATTAGTTGTTTAATAATGATAATTGTGAGAAGGAAAATTATATGTTTATTACATATGTGTATGTATTATGATTCAATACTATTTTTGTACAGTAACTTGTAAACATAATAATGACTTTAACCAAGCTCAAAATTCTTTAGATGATAAAAATTCCAAACAAAGCGTAATACATAATTGAGTTATAATTGATCAATTAAATTTACATTAAGCAAGTGTCTTAGACAAGGTCTCAGACCTAAATTAGGTGACCTAAAAGAAATTGGCACGATTAAAATATCAATCTATTCTTATTCAATTATATTTTTTTTCTTCTTTCGAGTAAATAAAAGTCTGAAATGGAGAACGGATTTAATAGAATAGAGAATAGAATAAAATAGAGAAAAAGGATAAGGAAATTCTTACACTCAAAGTATAAGAATTCATTGTTAATTGGAGGAAAGGTAATTTAGCATTTAATGTTTCTACATTTCTCGCAAATCTCTCAACGAAGAAATATTTACTTTATCAAAAACTATTATTTAAGCAAATTGAAATTAGTATACATAATTATAATAGAGAAATAGGAGAATTGTTGAATGGATTCGGTATACATACCTGTACATACCTGTACACAATTACAATATATATATATAGATTTTCTCTTCGTCGCGTTATTTAAAAATTATATATGTATATGTATGTATAGATAAAATTATAAAAATATATATACAATATAAATATTTCTCAAAATAAATGTATTATATTAATAAACCAATTTCATTGCAATGAGAACAAACTAAGTATTTATTTATTGCTGCTGACGGCAAGTCAAAGTATGTTAAAGTAGGTTACAATATGTAAAACACTAATTGTTAGTCATAATATAAAGTATGTCATGGCATGTTTTAAAGTACGCTAGAATAAAACTTTTGTTGACATACATCCAAATAGCCTTCAGTAGCCAACTAGCTGTTCCAGAATTTTAATTTAAAGCAAAAGATTTAGTTGGCAAAATATACTCTAATCCACATATTAGATATTTAAATGTATACTAAAAAAATTACAACAAATCGAGAAAGAATCATTTTAAATTACGGAGAGTCTGTATTATTGAATGAAAATCTGTATTATTGAATGAAAATCAAATAAAATACTTTAATAAATTACTAATTATTGTATAACATGTATGGAAATTATTTAACTTGCAGAGTGTTTTGCTAATTATATTTTTTTCCAAAGTGCTTAGGACATCGATTTCTTTTCGCATGAATCTCTAGTATAAATTCCTTCGATTTAATCAATTTTTTCTCATCTATCGATGCGAGATAACGGCAGAGATGCACACGTTATTTGATTTGCATGCGCGCATTATAAGGGACTTATTCGTTCGCGTCTAATTAACTCACGGCCAATGTTTTGTTTTCAGAGGGCTTGCACCTCTGGACTGAGACTATCGCGATTTCTCCTTTCATGCTGAATAAAGGCGTCCATTGTGTGAATGCAGTGCTTTCATCTATTCGCTGGTTTACAAAAGACGCTTGGTCTTCGCGTTTGTTTCCGAAAATGCATTTTGTACTGCTATTACACAGAGCCTACTATGCGCTTGCGAATCTATGTATTCGGACATTGTAGTTATCGATAACAAAGGAACAAATTTCACGCAAAGTTACTCTTCGCAAATTAAAGTTTACTTCTCGTATGTATGAAAATTATATTTCGTATCAGTTCCACAAAATTAATTTTTACCAACGCTCATTTTTTTCTCTATATTGTAATTAATCTTTTACAGATATGATTAATTTTCGCAGACAAAACACAGTGGAGATAATTAGAAAATCATTCTATTAACAACTGCAAAAGAGAAATTTATCTTCTTGCGAACCATTTGTTTATATGCAAAGCATAGTACAGAAAGGCATCATTTATTGTTTTTTTGTCTCTCAAAACAATAAACGAAATATCTTCGTATTTATGCTTTGCATATAAACAATGGGATTTATGAGAAGATAAATTTCTCTTTTGCAATCGTTAATAGAATGATTTTCTAATTATTTTCACTGTGTTCCACGTGTTGCATGTGTATTCTGCGTTTGTAGAAAATTAATCTAGAGAAAAAATTACGAGAAAAGATTAATATCGAGAAAAAATGCACATTGGTAATAATTAATGTTGTGTAACCGATACAAAATATAATTTTCATACATAAGAAAGTTACGAATTTAATATTAATAAAAAGATTAAAGTAATTTTTATCAATAATAGATTCTCATTAATTAATTCTCATTATTTTCTCATTAATTAATCGTAAATTAATTTAGAGTTAAAAGATCTTTCTGCAAGATGTATATTTTAGATCTAATCTTTAAGAACAAGCGAGACAAGTTCTATTTCGAGGGATAAAAAAATACAATATTTCGCTGAGAGTAGCATCATTTCCCATGCTTGTCTCTAACTTTGGAATAGATTTATATCACTATTGTAT